AAAATGCCACATTGCTGCCTGTATTCTGTTTTAGGAAAATGTGCTTTGTTTGCACAGAGAGGAAAAGCAAAATCTAACCTGTAGCATCGCATATAATGAGCCTGAGTGAGACTTGGCTTAATTTTTGAGATGCAAAGTGGATTTGGAAGGACTGAGCAGGAATTTGGGTCTGATGCAGAAGGTGGCAAAAAGACTGCCAGCTCAACACAGCTTAGAGTTCATACACACATTTGAATGGTAATGTAGGACAACTAGCCATTTCAGGCTCAAGCTCACTGTGGTGATTTTGTTTTCAGACATGAAGTACCATAAGACACCTTTATAATTTGAGGTGATGTTTGGGAATGCATATGCATTTCTTATCCCTTGATATATATTTGTGTATATATATTATACAGAACTCTGAGAGGACATGGCACTTTTGATCTATAAAATGTTCATTACTGTCTTTCTGATAGTGCCAGCTGGCAATTAGTTTTTTGTATATTTTATTTTGAGCCTCAGCAGCAATTTATCAAAATACTAAAGCACCTGTCCTGGCTGCTGTGAGACTGATTTTCCAAGCAGTGTAGGCACGTTAGATACAATTAAAATGCCACATTGCTGCCTGTATTCTGTTTTAGGAAAATGTGCTTTGTTTGCACAGAGAGGAAAAGCAAAATCTAACCTGTAGCATCGCATATAATGAGCCTGAGTGAGACTTGGCTTAATTTTTGAGATGCAAAGTGGATTTGGAAGGACTGGTACTTAGGATTTTTATAAAAGCCAACACAAACTAACAAGTTGCCTATTTTTCTTCTAAATTAAAAGAGTGCTAGGAAGTAAAACAAACTGTGGAACTTTCTACTATCTCTTGCTCATTTTTGTCAAAATAATATAATATTATACAGAGTGCCATCATTCCTATGTTCAAACTTGCCATTTTTACATGCCTGGTAAGTCATCATGCATTCATTTTTTTCCCCTTATGCTGCTGTATTGCTTTTCCCTGTGAGCCCATTACAGCTTGTTTCTTCTTGAGATACAGCAACATGGTCTTCTGTTGTAAGTCACATACAATGATAACAGGAGTAGTACCTGTGTTTTGTCTTCCAGTTTGACTGTTATTTGGGATGAGTATGTCAAGGAATTTTAGTATACGGACAGGTTTTGTTTTTTCCTTTGATAATAGTTAAATGGTGCTTTGAGACAGCTGTCAAACTGGGGAGAAAAGCCATGATATTGTCCCAAAGCCTGTCTATAAAAAGAGTTCTGCTTTTTGGTCTTCAGCATGCCTTGTTCTACCTGGTTTTGGCTTCACTTCTCTTGGAGAAGAAACAACAGATGGTAGTATTACCACATACCTTATGCACTCCCAAAGAAGTTATCACTAACAGTAAACAGGGCAGATCTGTGGCTCCTCCCTCTTATTTTTTTTTGTGCACAAGAGACAGTTAACCATGTCAACATTTAAATGATTGTCAGTAGATCTGGGTTAACACCTTTCCTGGCTCTTAGTTGACCTTATTTTCAATGAAGGACAGTGTACTTCTCCACCAAGGGAGCAACTGGATATAGGATTACATGGGAGTTGTTTTTATAGGTAGTCAGCATCAACTCCAGGAAAAGATAAATTATTAACCCTGATAATCCACTTCAAATCAAAGCTTTAAGTAAAATTCTAGTAGAGATGAGATAGAGACAACCTCTTTTTTTTCATTAACATGCAAAGATTGTATTTGGCACTGTAAGTAGACTAGTCTTGTTATTTATTTATAATAAAAGCTCTGATGCTATATCACACAGGATCTTCACAGAGTCAAGCTGTACCATTTCTGTTCTGACTTGTTTTAAGCTGTGGCTTTGCAGTGTTGGTTTGACCGCACAGGGTGCAGTGTGGAATGATAAGTAATCAGGTGAATAGCTGAATATAGGCCAAGAAAATGCTGAAGGTTGTCATAATATAAGCCAAAAATGTGAATCACTAAATATAGGCAAAGATGTTAATGTTTAGATTGAGAACAGCTGAAGAGAGTTGTCATGCTATTGCTCAGTGGAGCCTTCACATCAGAATAATAACATTAATTCCAGCCTTTTTTTTTCCCCAAAAATAAATACCTTGTCAATTGATGGTAAATCAAAGTATAAATGTAAGGTTATTATATGTACAAGTGATTTGCTCTTGTAGTTTTATATACAGTAATAGCAAAAATATACTTGCACTTTATTCATCCCTGACAGGGATATATGTGTGTATACTTATGTGCACACATATATATAAATAAAGATACAAACACCACATAGTAATTAATATATAAATATACAGATTAATAAGTAGGTTCAATATAAACATAATGGTTGAGTTCTTAAGTGTAACATTGCTTATAAAAATAATGAAAAGCTGGCATCCCTAATTTTATGGTAAAAATGATTCCTACTTCTGTCTAAAAAGACTATAACAATCTATTATTCTGTGATGCCTCATGGGTGATAGCTGCTTTTGGAAGAACGGCACTGTAGTTCTCCAACTAATGGGAATAGAATAAATCTGTAAAGAATACAGTGAGCAAAAGACTATGTTGCAGTTGGATAATGTTGCATGGTGTCCATAGGGTTATTGAGGGTAACTGAGAGATTCCTCAGACCTTCAAGTGTGTGCAGTCAAACACACTGGGTTTGTAGTCAATTGGATCCTTCCACAGACAAAATCAGACTGAAAAGGCCAAAAAGTAAGAAGTCTTCCAAAGAAATTTGTATATGTCATCAAGGAAAATTTTAAGGGAAATGAAAAAAAAATACAACCAATGAACCTGCCAGACTCTGTAGTCAAATAAAGACAAACAGGAGCTATACTGGAAATATACTTTAAAATACTGATTTAATGAGTTGACTGTTAGCATGCTATGTTAGACCAGCCTGACTTTAGGCAGGTTTAAAACAACTTTTAAAACAGACAAAATTTAAGGTTTTATGTAGCAGGGTAAAATGTGAAGAGTATGCCCATAATATTTTTGAAGATTTCCAGTGCTTTGTTTTAGAGAAAGATTTAATATTCTTACAAAAGTTTGCACATTTCAGAAGCTCTCCTTATACCTTCATCTCATTCCTGCAAACATACTTGTAGCCTTGCAAAAAGTTAAGATTCTTTTTAAGAGGTCATTGATTTTTCAAACAGAATAGGTGTGCATTTTCAGTATAAGCAAAGAGATCCTCTCTGAATTTTGACAGTGTATATATGCACACTGTCTAATCTCATCCTCTTTCGGAGGCTGCTTTTTTATTTATTGTAAATAAGAAACACCCATCAATTCTAGACAAAACTTTCTCATGAGTATGGTTTCTCACTGTAAAATCTTCTGCTACACTTTTCAGTTGAACACAAACCTCGTTATATTTATAGGGTAAAGTCTGAAGGTTCCACCTTGTCTGACAGCCAGCATGACTCAGCACAAGAGCTCTGCATGGGTTTCCACAGTCCTAGTAGTTAATAATTTCTGGCACTTAGATTTTAAAAATAAAAATACTGTTACTCTTTTTATTCATAAGAACTATTGCTTCTGATTGTAAATTAACCTCCTTTTTTTCGTGCTACTTTACTTTTTGATTGTAACATTTAGGCATTCTCCCCAGGGTATGGGGCACTGCAGCAGCGTTGTTTGGCTTCACTGCACGTGTTGCACAGTATTGCACAGTATTGGAATCTACTGTTATGTTTTGGTATCTCTGACATACTAGCACTTTCAGTGCTGTTCATGAGGAATTAATACATTTACACAAATAATCCAGGTATGCCTAACCTTTCTAGGCTACAAGCTGAACAGCAATCAGTGTCTTGTGGCAGAGTGCCACAGCGTAGGGACCCAGAGAGCCTCAAACTACTTGGTTTCCTCAGCTGGGGATGTGGGTTCCCCTGTTGCCCCTAGTTCTGCACACCCCAGTGCTGGCAGCTGTCTAGTGTGGGAGCTGAGCTGGAACTGTTCACAAGGATCATGTTAATCAAGAGATCACTTCCCCACCCCCAACCTCACTGTGTGTCAGCAGAATAAAACACAACCTTAAGTGAGGACCGTTTTAAATTTGTTACATTAAATGATGGGCGATTTAAACATGGATTTGTCTTTGCTTATGTAACCATTTCTCAGTCAGTAATGTATATATAGCACTGTGTTCCCTGAGACATTGGCCAGTATACAAAAATGTCCATGCCTACACTTCCTCACGTGTAAGAAAGCAGATAATCACATTGCAGGGAAAGAAAGTAATGTGTGAATTGTTAAAAAGTTAACCTAATTTTTATTTCATTTTAAATCCAAAGCACGGTAGCAGTAATGCACAAGCAGGCCCCTTTTCTTTCCAAAGACTAGTTAGTGCTTGATTTAAAAAGCTTGGGAAACACTGATTCACATCAGGTACTTTGGTAAGAAAAAAATTAACTGATGTGAAATCATATTAGAAGAACAAACAGAAGACATTCTTGACAAACAGGAGACTGTCTTGACTTCAATAAAGTGGCTGAGTCTTACTATAAAGCATAAAAGACTGAAGCAAATTTCAGAATGTACCTTTTAAAAAACACATTACACATTTAGTCTGGCTTTCAGTTGAGTGTTAATTGGGTCTGTATTTTTGTCTCTGTAAATGGTTGATGCAAATCATTGTAGGCGTAAGTTTTTACCAATTACGTTTATAAATATTTAAGTCATCTCAATATCTGATATCAAATATATACACATAAATAGACTGCCCAAAGCCACGCTAGCAGTGGTTTGACTCTGCTATTTCCAAGGAAGAAACCAGGCTGAGTACTGATCATCTTTCCCTGTTGACACAGAAACAAGTTACCATGTGTCAGCTGCTTTGCTGCAAATGCTTCCTGCCCAAAGGGCAATACTTTTAAAAGAAAAGTTTTACCATAAAAGCTGAAATAAGATAAAGCCACAAGGTGACTGTAATAAAAAGTAAAGCATAGGTGTTACTCAGAGGGGTCTAACACTGTTTCTCTCCTTAATGATGCTTTCAGAATGGCAGAGACTCATGGTTTGATGGAGAGACTGGAGAAAGCAGTGACTCGGCTTGAATCATTATTTTCAGATTCACACAGATCTGGTGGAATGGAGTGTGCTGCCATCAATGGAGTCAATGGAAGTAAGTCTGTTTCTGTGAAGTACCAGCTCTCTGTTATTAAAAAACTGCAAGTAGTGCATGCGTTTGTCTTCTAAGAGGGGCTGCAATCCCACTCCTGATTAATTCTGTACCAAAATAATGTAATATTTTTTTAAATCCTTTTGAAATCTCATGTGACAAGCTTAGGTGTACACATACTTCTAAATTAATACAGCCTAGAAAATTCAAGATTTTACTAGTCTTAAATATACTGTTTATGTTTCAAGCTTTTTGGCTTTTTCATGTTAGCATTTGTATTGTTGTAGGTAACTCACCAGATGAAAATGTATGCTCAAGCCAAATTAGCAGAAGAAATGAGACTTCCACAAAATTTACAACATAAATACTATTAAAGAAGTCAGAAATATAAACACTGAGTTTATTTGCCACCTCTCTGAATCTCACAGTGCAGAGCTATTTCATTTAATTGTTTAATATCCTTAATCAAATATGAGTTAGTTCATAAGCATTTACTCACTAAGGGCTGCCACACATCTCTGGCCACCTTCTGTTCTCTCTAGAGCTCTTGCTTCTCAAATGGATCTCCAAAGCACTACATTGGAGAATACACCAAAAAAGTCTGTTTTCATTTAATCACATCATATCACATAGGACTACAAGGATGTTTAAGGGACTGGAATATCTGTCATACGAGGAAAGGCTGAGAGACCTGGGGCCATTTACTCTGGAAAAGAAAATACTAAGAGGGGACTTTATTAATGTCTATAAATATCTGAAGGGTGGATGTCAAGAATGGGCCAGTTTCTTTTTAGTGGTACCCTGTGATAGGACAAGGGCAAATGGCACCAAGTGACAAAACAGAAGTTCCACCTCAACACGAGGAAAAACTTCTTTACTGTTAGAATGATGGAGCACTGGAACAGGCTGCCCAGAGAGGTTATGGAATCTCCTTCTCTGGAGACTTTCAGGACCCATCTGGATGTGTTTCTGTGTGATGTGCTCTGGGTGATCCTGCTTTAGCAGGAGGGTTGGACTCATTGATCTTCAGAGGTCCCTTCCAACCCCTATGATTCTGTGATTCCATGATTCTATGATTTTATCATCAAATTGTATTTTTTTTACTCATTAATTTTGTTGTTGTTCTTCAAATTTACAGGGTAAATATTAACCTTATAAATATGACAGTCCTAATGCTGATTGAATAGAGGTGCCCTTTCCTTTCTCCAGAGCATGATTGTTTCATGCAGAACCCTGATAATGTATCCCTTTATTAGCTCCATGCCCTTCGCTTTCTGTATTCCTTGGTCCTCTCCTGCATTGTCCAGAGAAAAGCACATCCCAGCATGGATGTGTTGCTGGACAGAAGCTGCAGAACAAGCAGAAAGTTGCAGGCAGCTTCCTTACTGACACAGAAGCAGGTCAGTGTATGTCAGCTGCTTTATTGTCCCTGTATGCCAGCCCTTACCCAGCAACACACGCGAGGGACCTTCCCCACAGTCACGTATGCCATGGGCCTGCACAGTGGCAGCTGCTGTGGAGCAGCTGACTGAAAGCAGCATGTTTCTGTGGCAGGAGGGGAGCATCTTCCAGCAGGCTTCCACAGGAGATGAGTTCCCCAGCCACAGGAAGCTTCAGTAATAAAAAACATAAGGTCCAGAGAAAACCTGAACAGCTAGGAGACTGTGGCAAAGTCATGGAGGAACACGATCCACGTACAAACTGACAAATAAATCAATCACTGCTAGGAAGTCTTTGTTGTTTTTTGTTTGTTTGTTTTGTTTTGTTGTATTTTTTTTGAATACTTCGATCCTACAGTGAATCCATTTAGATGAATCTCTGTATGAATCCAAAATTCAGTATTGCAGAACCAGGGCTGCTTTCAGAACAGCAGATGACCTCACCATGTGGGGTACTTCCATGAATATTGTTATATCCTTGGCCTAACTGAAGACCTCAGTCTTGTGAAAAGATTCACCCTTCAGTGTAGCAGAGTCTTAGAACTGCAGCAGATCCCTAGAAGAAACCAACTGACGAACCTTGTTGGAATTAGATTAACATACTCACTAGGAGACTGCAGTGAGGAGCTGAGATGAGCTGCACCATGGGACACTTGCCAGCCTGCATCTCATCTCCAGGCTGAGCTGTCTTGCATGGGGACTCAGGAACCGACTTATGCTGGTGTAGCTAGGAAAGACTGTTCTTCAGTTTGGGTGACTGATATACACATGGTGCCACAACCATCATTCTCTATGCCTGTGTTACTGCCCTCCTACAGAGGTTCACATAATCTCCTCAGCAACTGCAGACTTGACAGTCTCACAGAACAGGTCTCTTTCTTTTTCTCCTTTAAAACTGCCACTCAGCCACAGCGTGACCTTTTTTAAGTCTCTATTGGAAATAAATGGAGTTATCTTGCTTTTTTCTACCATGACTCCCTCTCCTAAAAAAAATCCACAATTATTATAAATATAACCTCGACTTTTCATTTAATACTTTTTCAGAAACAGCAAACTTATCAGTAGGATAGTGGAACTGCACCTTTTACTGTTTTCCTAAATGGCATCACAATGGCAGGATTGCAAATAAATAATTCAATTGCTCTGCACAGCCCACAGCAAATTCTAGTAAATGCTTCTGGGAGTTAGCTGTATTGAATAGTAAAAAATAGCATGGTTGCTTTCTAGTTTTGCACAGCACAATTACCATTTGGTGAACTGCTATTTAAAACTCTGCTGTAAAGGAGAAGGTTACAGTTATTTCCTTGGAGACATGCACAGATTTTGACAAAGAACATAAATGGGCTTTGGAAAGCATCACCACAACTGCAACCTTTTGTACACTAGGTCATTTGAGGGGTTTACACACAATCACTTAATATGGAAGAAAGCCCAGAAATTCCTCAAATTTAAAGGTGAGTGACATCAAGAGAACAAAAGGAGCCTTGAAATCCAGCCTAGCTGACTAACTACTCTTTTTTTTTTTTTTTTTTTTTTTTCACACAAACCATTGCAAACTCCAGTTGCCAGAGCCTTTCTTTTTTTCTGTCAAGGAGCCAGATGACTCTTGTGGAATAAAAAGGGCTTTCAAGGTTATGAATTTGTACACAATTGTCATATAGTGCCAAAAGGTGAAAGCAGGCTCTCTAGGGAAAACCTGGTGCCTCTTCAGAGCAATCTTCAGTCTTCATTAATGAGGGAGAGAGGCTGGGAATAATTTTAACCTTGGTCTCTCAGATCCTACAGATGCCATAAATTCACATGTGTGTTGCTCATGCTGGACCTGGCAAAGGTTCTGAGGCAAAGACAAAACATGAGGATATGTCAGGGAGTAAAGGGAGGGCTGGGAAGCATCCAAGATAACTTTTGCTGTCTTAAAAGGTACAACATAAAATCATTTAGAAGCCAGATGCATAAGAAACTGAGTCTCATCTGCATTTTCTGATTGTTCATTTAGGTCAGGAAACCGCTCTGTATACCCTGTAGAAAACAACATTTTGTTAAAGTGCATTTAACACTCTGTTAGAATGTAGAGGAATGTATAGAATGTATAGTCAATGGGATGTGTTATCTGGAAGATTCATTTGAGCTTGCTTTATCCAGTGAGAATTCCACAAAGTCAGACAACAAAATAAGGAGATTACAAAGCCAGATCTCAATGCATAAATCCACTGCCAACCCATTCTAAAGACTGTCTTATTGGAAATTGAATTCTGTGCTATTAAAAGGCACCAAACAATACAAAGATCTTCAGGAATGGGTGGGTGGTATAAAAATAGTTGTTCAGTACAGTGCAGACTCTTCTTAGAGGATGATATTTGATTTATGTTCAACAGTTTAATTTTGTTAAGACGATCATGCTTACCAGGCCACTACGCCTTTGAAGGGCTGAGAAATGTTAACTGTAGCACCTGTTACTTTAAGACAAAAGAGTCTTCTCACTACACTATACAGAGTAAATTGTCTTCATGTTCTAGCAACGTTCTTCTAAGAGCAGGGTTTTTTCTTTCTAGCTAGGAAAAAACCATTGTACATGTTTTTATCACTAATTTCACAAATTAGTAAGTACAGCAGACATTATGTTACAGCAATTTTCTCTCTTTCTATGGTGTTTTCCCTA